TCGTACAACCAAAGACGTTCCAACATAGTAAATATATATATATTATATGTGTATATATTTACAACTTTTGTAATTTTCGTAAATCGTCACTAAATCAAATTTTACACTATATTGGTTTGACACTTATTTTACCTTTTATAAAACAACATTGATTTTATACTTATTTTTACTTCTTTTTTTTTTTGACAATTAAAAATTGTACGTAAAAATAAACATTTATAAAATTTATTTATTAAAAAGTTAATATATTTTCACTCATTTATGCACTTTTATCAACATATTTTTTATTTACAACCTAATTGTATTTTTAACAAGAGCAAAAATAAAATTTTAAAACATTTTTTATCTTATAGAATAACAACAATAATTATTACAAAAAAAAAAAAATTACAAAATAGAATTTCCAAATTTTTAATTACAACTTAAAACAGTGTTACGTATGTTAATTATATTAAAAACTTATGTAATTTTGTTCACTTAATTTTTGTGGAATAAAAAAAAAAATATATATAAAGTTCTGAAAGTTAATATATTAAACTTTGCCATAAAAAACAGTGCGTATTAATGAATATAAGTCACTAAATAATATATAATATGATAATATTCGTATTAAAGCGTAGAAAGTAAAAAAAAAAAAAAAAAAGCACACACACATAAATATATAATTATATATATATATGTCAATGTGTTTTTTTTTTTTTTTACCTTTACAACGTAAATAAATTTCAATTTATATCAACGTTTTTTGAACTTTTAAATATAAGTTTTTTTTTTTTTTTTTTTTTTTTTTTTTTTTACTAATATGTTTCTAAGTTTTAACACAAATTAGTTTATCAAAATAGACAAATATATGTAATTACGTAAATTCTTACACACTTATTAAAACAAATATATGCATAAAATAGTAACTCTACTATATGTAATGCATATAGATAAAAAAAAATTCGATTTGATATTATTTATATAATATAATAAAACCCTTTGTAAAGCATAAATATATACATTAATTATAATGTTAGCAAAAATATGTAAAAACTTTATTTAATGTATAGACATTAACATTTTTGTTTCTAATTTCACAAAAATGTAATATTTAAAATATATATATATATATATATATGTGTGTGTGTATGTAAATAAAAAGATTTATATAATTACTAATGAACGTTCAACGGCTTTATTCCATTCCAGAATTTTTTTTTGGCGTATTTTTTTTTCCATATTTGATTTAAAACTTAACTGTTTACTTCTTATTAAATCTTTAACTGTATCCAAATCTTTCCACACTTTTACTCCTAACCCAGCTAATACACCTGCTCCTAATGCTGTTACTTCTGCGTGTTTTGATACTTCAATATTAGTATTTAAAATATCGGCATTAAATTGCATAAAAGCATTGTTTATAGTCATTCCGCCATCACACCTTAAAAGTGGCAGCATTTCTATACCTATATCACATAGTAATGAATATACAATTTCATTTAATTGAAAAACAATACCTTCTAATAAAGATCTCACAATATGTTTACTCTCCGTATTAAATGTCATTCCAAATATATTGGCACGAGCATCTGATCGCCATCTAGGAGCATATAAACCACTAAAAGCTGGCACAAACACAACACCTCCTGTATCTTTACAATTTTCCATAATTTCATTTGCTTCTTTTGTATCAGATAATAATTTATTTTTCAAAAGCCAAGAAACACCTGATCCAGCAGTACCTATTGAACCCTCCAACGCATAATTTGCTTCATTACCATTACTCAATTTATAACAAACAGTACTAATTAAACCACAAGATGAATGAACAAGTTTATGTCCTGTATTAATTAATAAAAAAACACCTGTCCCATAAGTACATTTAGCTTCTCCTTCACCAAATATTGCTTGACCTATACATGCACTTTGTTGGTCTCCTATACAACTAGTAATTGGTATATTTGCATAATCACTAAGTTCATCACATTTTACTACTCCATAATCATCAATGTTATTTAATATTTTTGGTAAAACATTTAAATTATTTATACCAAACATTTTACATAATTCTTCATCATATTGTAATGTATTAATATTCATCAAAAGTGTTCTTGAAGCATTAGTAACATCTGTATATAAATTACCCTTAGTTAAATTATAAACTAACCAAGTATTTATATTTCCAATAGCTGCAGTACCATCTTCTATTTTTTTTTTTATAAATTCATTTTTTTTAATTAGCCATAAAATTTTAAATGCACTAAAATAAGTATTAAAACCAGTACCTGTTTTTTTATGAATAATTTCATTATTATATTTTTCTGAAAATTCAGTAACTAATTTCTCTGTACGTGTATCTAACCAAACTATTCCATTATATAATGGTTTTCCTGTATCTTTATCCCAAATAATTACAGTTTCTCTTTGGTTAGTGATACCAATACCTTTAATTACAAAATCTGTATATTTTTTTTTTAACACACAAAAACCATTATTCATTAATTTATATAAATTATTTAATATTTCCATCGGATCGTGCTCATACCAACCTGGTTTTTCACATTTTTGTTCATGTGGTAAACTGTCCAAATGTAAAACATTTAATTGTTCATCAATGAATACTACTTTAGTGCACTGAGTACTTTGATCAATACTTAATAAAATATTCATCTTTTAATTTAATTCAAAAATAAAAATTTAAATGTTGTTATATATCTAAGAAAAAAAATAAATAAATAAATAAATAAATAAATAAGTAAATAAGTAAATAAATATTCCAATACACAAATATACAAATATATTTATATGCGCGTAAATATTTATTTTAAAAAAAGTTATACTTTCTGATGCATATTTATTTATTATGTTTAATACATTAGTATAATAGAAAAACTAATTTAAACTTAACAAGGCACATTTTATATCTTATTTATTAAACCAAATTGCGTGGTTATATTTATATATATATACATATTGCGTGCATGTGTGTGCAAGAGTGTTAACATATGAAACGTTATTAAGCACCTTTAATATAAATAATAATAAAAAGAATAATAATAAAAAGAATAATAATAAAAAGAATAATAATAAAAAGAATAATAATAAAAAGAATAATAATAAAAAGAATAATAATAAAAAGAATAATAATAAAAAAAATAATAATAAAAAAAATAATAATGATAATAATCAAAGTATTACTATTTGACTGTCTTCCTTTTTAATTAAAAATTACATGAAAAACAAGAATAATTCTTATATAAATAAAAAAAAAAAATATATTGTTTTATGATTTTAAATAAATTAATTTGTTTTTCCTTTTTTTTTTTTTTTTTTTTTTTTGATATTTTTTTATATATTTTTTAAAAAAAAAAAAAAAAAAACTATTGTTTATTTAAAAGACGTTTTACCATATTTAAGTGAACATACGTAGATGTATATATTATAATATAACACGCTTTTTTTTTTTTTTTATTATAGCTACATTTATTCAAATTCTTAATTCATTGTTTAAAAACTCACATTTTAATTAAAATAAATAAAATGGTAACTTGTGTCTGGTAAAAAAAAAAATAGTATTTATTATGTTGTAATTTTAAAATATTTTGTAAATTTTTAAAATAATAAAAATGTTTCTATTAGTTATGTAATTACATTTTTATAATTAATATTCATTATATTGTAACTTAAAACATTCCGTAATTTTTTAAAATAATAAAATTTTTTCTTTTAGTTATGTAAGTGTACATTTTTGTAAAACATAATTTATTATTGTTATTTATTTATTTTTTTTTATATATAAAAACAAATGTGTTTTTAAACACCTACCTTATGATCCACTTTTACCAAATTTTTTTGAACTAAAAATTGAATAATATGCACTCAAATTTTACATTACAGGTCAGAAATATGACTTCTGTTAAGTTATATTATCTTACATATAATTTTTTTTTTTTTTTTTTTTTTTTTTTAAATATGAAGATAATAAAAAAAAAAAATACACTTAAAAAATAAGTAAAAAACTTCTGCTTTATAACAATACCACAATTATAAAGGTATAATTTTGTCAACATTTATATTTGTATAAAAAGAAAGAAAAAGAAATTATTATATTAGCATTTTGAATAATTGTATAAACTATTTACAACGCGATATTTTACTTTCAAATCCTAAGATATGTGTTATTATTATAAGACCATAGCTTAAAGAGTTATTTCTTATGCATATCTACCTCCATTACTAATACTATTACTATATATATATATATATATATATATAAATACATAGTTTTTTTTTTTTTTTTTTTTGTACTTTTTTGCAAAAATAACAAATTGTACATATTTTGAAAATGTTTTTTTGTGTATGTAAAGTTAAAATATTATGAAAAAAAAAAAAAAAAAAAAAAAAAAAAAAAAAAAAAAAAAATTACTTTTTACCAATTCTTTTTTTAGATAAATTCAATTTTATAAGTTTCTTTAATGTTATTTTAAAGGGTATATTTTTTTTTTTTTCACTTCCTGATAAAATTGATTTTTTAGCAGGTTTTGAACATTCTCTAGCAATTACTTGAATGTGACATGGAGATGACATAAAAGGGTTAATTCTACCATGAGCTTTAAATGTTCTTCTTCTTCCTGGTCTAGCTTTATTTACCATAATATGTATTATTTTCAATTTTCCTACTTCCAAATTTTTTGCCTACACAAATTAAAATATATATATATATATATATGTATGTATACAAACATATTATCAAAAAAAATAAAAAAAAAAATGAACAAATTTTTACTTGCTTGTAAAAATATTAACCAACATCAATCACTCATTTCATTAGCACATACATACATATAATATGTACAAAATTTTAATTAGCTATATTTCCTAATTCGATTTTGTACTTTATATACACAAAAAAAAAAAAAATAAAATAAAATAACATAACATAAAATAAAATAATATGATTAAATAATACGTATGAACATAAACAAAAAAAAAACATAATATCAGATTGAATTTTATTTTTTTTCAGACAAATGCCTCATTATAATCATATGGTAAAAATAAAAAATATATTTGTTTAAATATTTATAAAACATAAAAACATGTATTTAAAAATATAAACAAATATATTTTTTAATTTTTTCATACTCGTCATCTATTCATCATTAAAAAAAAAAAACAATACTACTAATACTACTACTACTAATAGTAATAGTAAATATAGTTTTATAACAACAATAAAACTAATGTAACTCTTTTTCTATAATTACATTTAACTATTTATCTATTTATATATATATTTATATATATAAATTTTTAACTAATTACCTCTGCATTTGCTTGTACATTATCAAGAACATTTAAAAGAAATTTACACGATTTTACTGGCCATCTACCTTGAGTATGTTTAAATTCTTTTGCCTGGCTGGTTCTTCCCACACCACCATTATATCTCCTGAATGGAACACATCTTTTTTGCTCAATAACATCGTTTAAATATTTTTTAGCTGCTAATAATTTCATTCGTCGTATAGCCCTTGCCGTTTCAAATGTGTTTTTAAAATGAACTCTCAAATCCAAACCTGCGCCTTTTGCGCCTTCAAAAAAAAAAAAAAAAAAAAAATAAAAAAATAATATATATATATATATATATATATATATATATATATATATATATATATGTAACTATAGATATATGGTAAAAAGATAATAAATATTACATATACATATATA